TCTAGGTCTATTGTGACTGGCACCACTAGAGTTCGACCATTTCTCATTTTAATTTATGTAAACTATTCTGAGGCAGAGGGTGATTTGATCTTGTTATCTGGGTTACATTGTTTATCCTGTGACCGATTTGCTCGTTTGATACCCATTATTCGATGTCAGATTGTCCATGTTTTGAAGATTTTTGATTATTTTTTTTTATATAAGGTCTTGTTTGAAATGAAAAAGCTAGTGTCACGAGCGGGATTCGAACCAACGACCTTCGGCTCAATACGCCGCTGCTCTAATCACTTGACCTATCGTGATTTCGATCTATTCGGATACCAACTCCCCATCTCAACCTACAACCTTTCGAATTTTTTCCTCCTTTTTCCATTTTTCAATTTGGTGTCAGAGTGAATCGAAGTCACGATAGGTCAAGTGGTTAGAGCAGCGGCGTATTAAGCCGAAGGTCATGGGTTCGAATCCCGCTCGTGACACTAGCTTTTTCATTTCAACCAAGACCTTACATAGAAAGAATAATTAATTGAAATAAGTAATTTGGTCAATCAGACCACTAACCGCAATGGATTTTTGATTATGTATCTATTTACGATAATGCTTTTTGGGCCGCTTGCCTGTCTGATCTTATAAGGGAATTGTTTTTATAAGTGAATTTATAATCCGACAAGGATGTAATCATCCGAGAGACTTTACGAACTATCAAATACATTACATAACGAAGTAATCAAAATTTTATGATCGATTAGCTGTCAGTTTGGGGAAGATGGATTGATAAGTGATTGAATGTTTAAATGTTAGCAGAAGAATATTAATTACCTATAAACAGAAAAAAAATCCTTATCGCTTACCTTTATGCTTTATAGTTTTAAAAACCGCTTGATTTACAACAAAAATAAATATCAAATTTAAAAGCATCCCTGACTAAATAATTCTTTGACGCTTAACTAAATTAAAAACATTAATAAATTATAAGCTTTTAAGTTGACTCAGAATGAACGTTTATGATCTGACAAGAAGCAATATTACCAACGACTTAACTATAAACCTATGCTAAGTAACAAAGTAATCGGATTTTTTATGATCGCTTAGACGTTTGGAAAAGATGGATTGAAAGGCGATTAAACGTTATATTTTATGGTTCTAGATGTGAACATTTGACCAGCAAGTCCAAAACCCTGAAGTAAAAAAAGACTACGCCGAATATAACAAATGGATGAGGTAGTTATTTGATATTTAAATTTGTTAAATAATTTATTGTTTGTTTGTCACTACAACGCCATAAAAATGAAAATTTTTGATTACCCCAAACATAATTTTAAGCCAAATAAGTGGCTTATGTTATTGTTAAAATGTTATGGCCAAATAAAATGTTATAATTATTTTTATTTTGGGCAACGGTTTTCTGTTAATTGTTATTATTTTTTAATAATGGAATTTTTTCTACTTTTGAATTTTGTGAAAAAATTAACTATAAAAATTATAACCTCTAAATTGTCAGAGAAGGAAAGTTTATAATCTGACGAAGGGGTAACATTCCCACGGACTTAACAAAAAATCTATGCTAAGTAACATAGAAATCGGATTTTTTATGATTGTTTAGTGTTTAGATGTTTCGAAAGAAGGACTGAGAGGCGATTAAACGGTTCATTTTATGGCTTTAGATGTAAATATTTGACCAGCAAGTCCAAAACCCTGAAGATAATAAAACAAATCGCTCAATATAACAAAAGGAAAAGGCATTTTCATATTTAATATTTTAACTTTTTAAAGAAATTATTGTTTGTTGTTGTTTCAGTTCATTTGCATATAAAATTAAAAGAAAACTTTCAATATGTTTACGCCAGTAAGTAATTTAATTGAATCACAGTTAAAAGGTGACCGTTGATCTTAAAGAGGGGGGTCTCGGTTAAGCCAGTTGTTGCTCTCAAGGCATGAGAGAAGGCTGTACATCTTTCGTTCCCTCGACTCTTACGATTGTCTCCATTATTTTTAAGTTTATTTTATTTTATTTCTTCATTAAACGAGTCCGTGCAAGTAGCCAATATTGGTCACAAAAGGGGGCCGAGAAGACTGGCTGGAAAACCATCACGATTTGCAAAACAAGTTGCTTCTGGCTGAGGCCCGCTCGAGCTCGACGCGGAGGCCGATTCTTCCGACGAGGGCGACTCGTGACTGGTGGTAAGTACACGTTTACCTTGCTCTTCATTGTGACTAATTGGTTCCTTGCGAAGATTCCAACTTATTGATTAATTTCAACTTATTTTTCTTTTATTTTAATTTTAGTTAAGTTACTTTATTTTCATTTCGTTAACAATTTTATTTTATTTTTTTTTCTCTTCGGCAATAGCCGAAACACAATACAACGCCATAAAACTAAAAAAATAAAAAATTATCATCCCAAATACATTTTTCAGTGGTTAAAAGCTAATAATTTTTTTGATAACAACGGTTTCTGATAATTGGTGTTTTATTTCAATAATTGACTTAGTTCAACCTTTTTTTCCAAAATTAGACACAAAAAGGATAAGCTCTAAATAGAATTAGAAGGAAAGTTTACAATCTGTCAAAGAGGTAATTTCCCAGGGGCTTAACTACAAGCTATATTATGGAGCAAAGTAATCGGATTTTTATGATTGATTTTCTGTTTAGAAAGATACTGTTTTGAGTACATTTTTGAAAACATTTAAGCAGAATTTTACTGCAAATTGAAAACCCTGAAAACAAAATTATAAAATGGAGATTTCCCGACAATTAGATATTTTATAGTGCTTTTTTTAAAATTAAAATTAAAGAAAAGTTTACACTACAACGCCCTAAAACTAAAAAAACTGTATCATCCCAAACACATTTTTCAGTGTTTAAAAGCTAATATTTTTTTTGACAACAACGCTTTCTGATAATTGGTGTTTTATTTAAACAATTGACTTAGTTCAACCTTTTCCCCCAAAATTAGACACAAAAACGATAAGCTCTAAATTGACTTACAAGGAAAGTTTACAATCTGTCAAAGAGGTAATTTCCCAGGGGCTTAACTACAAGCCATATTATGCAGCAAAGTAATCGGATTTTTATTATTGATTTTCTGTTTAGAAAGATATTTTGAGTAAACTTTTGACATAAACATTTGAGCAGAATTTTACTGCAAATTGAAAACCCTTACAATAAAATTATAAAATGAAGATTTCCCAATAATTGGATATTTTATAGTTCCGATGTTTTCTTATATTTCGACCTCAACGGTTAATCTTGTGATTTTTCCTTCTAGAAGGTGGGATAATAGGTCATCTCAAAAAAAAACCACAACCAGTTTTTATCCACGACGTTTCGGATTTATTTTAATCCTTCCTCAGGTGAGTTAACGCCTGTACACAGAACTAATTTTTTTTTTTTTAGATCAACATCGTTATCATTGTTTCTTCACTACTTACAATGGTTAAAAAAGTGGTCGTCAGCCATTTATATTTTATAACAGGTTATTTTAAAAAAGAGGAAGTGTGGTACTTATTCAGACTACGAACAAACGTTTTAATATTTTGAACCTGACTAGACTCTTATCACAACCTCTCATGTGACGTTCGACCTCTTATCAACATCTTATCACAGACCAACGAATCAACATTAATAAAAAAATGTTCTGTGTACAGGCGTTAACTCACCTGAGGAAGGATTAAAATAAATCCGAAACGTTGTGGATAAAAACTGGTTGTGGTTTTTTTTTAGATGACCTATTATCCCACCTTCAAGAAGGAAAAATCACAAGATTTTATAGTTCTTTTTTAAATTAAAATTAAAGTTTTTTTTTTAATTAAGTTTTTAAATTAAAGTTCCCTACAACGCTATAAAACTTGAATATTTGACTACCCCAGCAAGTTTCTAAGTCAAATAAGAGGATTTTTTTATGCTCGCTTTTCCAGTAACGGTGTTATGTTTATAGAAAATAATGCAAATATAAAAGGTGGCACATCTTTGCGATAATTGTTACGGTGTTCTAGTAATTGAATTAGTTCTACCTTTGTTTGGCTTTATCGAATAAACACTGAAGCTATTACGGATAATTTATTTTTTTAATTCTCAACTTGTAAAAATTTGTTTGATTATTCTTAAAGTAAATGTTTATCGCTATTAATAGGGCAACTTAGATCAATAAAGGTCAAAATACTCTTGGTAAAAGGTCTGGTGATGAAAATATTTAAAAAGAAATATTTAATGTAGGTAAGGAACAGTGCGATGGGCTTTTCGCTTTTGCCATCTCAGGTTGAATGGTTCAATAAATAATAGACCAAATTCCAGCAGATACATTAAAGCAACATAAATAGATCGGACTGGTTCGACGTTAAATCAACATCGACTAATTTGGCCTCGGGCGAGCTGTCGTTTCCACTCAAAACATTAATATTCTATGTTGAAGTAAATTCTTATCGAACGGAGACTCAAATAACCAGGTTTAAAAATTAAAAGGGGCCTTGTAATTTACAAGATCTATTTATACAGTTAGTTTAACATTTGAGTTGCACGAGACGGTTTAGAAAAGGGGACGGTGAATAACCTTACAGTGGAAGTTCCGAGCTTTAACAATCGAGATGGTTAGGAATTCACCAATAACCCCCTGGGGATGGAGGCTGCTCAGAACATTCTGCTAAACCTTTATGCGACCCAGTTCTTCAATATTTAATCAAAAGTTCACTACCTACACGTATCCGCCGCCAGCTACGGAGAATAATGGTTCATTTATAACAATTTACAAACATAAAAATCCCATGTTGTCTATTTTCTGGTCTAAACGTTCTTGCAAGACTGCAATGAATGCTGTTGAATATGTAAATGCAATGTTTATTTCAATTTTACGCATAGTTAAAATCCGCAATCTTATTTATGTTACATGGAACATTACCAAGATTATCTAGGAAATACAAATTAAGACTTGAAGGATACATTTATCTTCGGATTTCTCGAGAAAAGCCTAAGATATTATAATTGCAAATATAAAATAGAAAAATTACCTTTCGAGTTTTTCTATTGTTGTCGGTTGGTGGAGGATGGTTTGCCCACCATCCATCTCGACCACGCATTGTGTCCCCAACTCTAGCTCTGAAAAAAAAAAAAAAAATCATTCATGTAATTTAATAAACAAAAATATTCAACTGTACAGTCACATATAAAATCGATTGTGCAAACATTCACAATTTTCAGTCGTGCACCGAGCATCAATATTTGAGCTTCTATGTTAAAATGCGTAATCTCGTTGTGCGGGGGGAAACCATGTGAAACAACAACACAAACCACATTTGTTTGGTTTACCAACACTAAGCCATATCTACGATACGACTTACGTCACTTAACCGCGCGCAAAGAGAGTATGTCTCTCTCTCTCTCTCTCTCTCTCTCTCTCTCTCTCTCTCTCTCTGTCCCTTTCGTATTAGTATTAGAAATGATATGTCATCTAATATGAATTTTGCTAAAACTATTGATCCTGCCCGGAGGACCAAAAATATTGTGTTGCACAAAATTGTATAATTTCTTTAATTATATGTTAAATGTAAGAGAAGTCTAAGAGATTATTATGTTTTCAATCAGACAAAATTCTATGTATCTATCTCTATAGATATATATCTACCTAACAAACTCTCTATATATCTACTTACTCTCTCTCTCCCACTCACTCTCTCTCTCCCTCGTGAATTTTGCTAAAAATATTGATCCTGCCCGGAGGACCAAAAATGTTGTGATGTACAAAATTGTATAATTATCGTAATTATATGTTAAGTGCAAGAGAGATCCAAGAGATCATTATGTATTTAAGAAGCCGAAATTCTATCAATCTATCTCTATAGATATATATCTAACGATCTACTCACTCACCCCTCCCTCACCGTCGGTCTTTTCCTTCTCTCTCATCTTTCTCTTTCTCTCACGCTATTTTTATCTATTGTTCCCTCTTCTCCTTCCTCTCTTTCCACTCTCTCTCTCTTTCTCTTTCTCTCAATCTAATTTTATCTATTGCTTTCTCTCCACTCTTTCTCACTCAACGCTTTCTCTCTCTTCTCCTCCTCTCTCTCCCTTTCTCCGATCTCTCCCACTCACCGCTCTCTCTCTCTCTCTCTCTCTCTCTCTTTTCTCCTCCTCTCTCTCTTTTCCCCTTCCCTCTCTACACTTTCTCTCTGTCACTCTATTTGTATCTATTGCTCTCTCTCGCTCTCTCTCCCTCTTTTTCATTCTCTTCTCACTCACTCTCACACACTCTCTAACTCAATGTTCTTCGATTGCTGTCTATCTTTTTGTCTATTTCTCTACTCTCTTTGCTTATCTCAATACTTTGTCTATCCACCCCTCATATCAATATTTGAATACTCAATTTTGAAATATTTTTATTGTATTCAATATTTGGTACCTTGCAATTGGAAAGGGGTTCAATGTTCCTATTTAATTAAGTAATTTAAGCATTTACTCTTTAAATCTATACCATGTTTGGCCAAGACTGAATTCTCTTTGTCAAATAAAAATTAAATATGTATTTATAACGCAAATTCAATTCAGTTGGCGGATGTTCTAAACGTAAAATTAGCAATGCAACTAATTTGCAACGTGCGAATAATAAAGTTTATAACTGAAATCAAGTCTTAGTTGCCCGTTCAAAAATTAATGACCGCTAAAAACATGACTATTAAGAGACCTTATTTATTATTCAATACATACAAACCGAAAACCTGTTCTATTGTCTGTTCAAATAAATTAGCAATCTCTGAGTTGGCTGGCACTGTAGAAACATTTTTTTTTTTTTTTTTTTTGTAAAAGAAATACATTTTTGTTTTAAAGGGCATACTCAAAACCACTCAAGATGATTAAATCGCACCTTGAATTTGAACTTTTTATCACATGCATTAGTAGATCGAAGATTAGTCACTTCTTACGGTCGGTACAGGCCAATAAACTTGCTTTTACTAAACCAATTTTATCTTTAACAATATTTTATCAACACTTTTCGCTACGGCTTGTACACTTTTTAATTCATTCTACAGACATTGGAACACACGAAATTTTTCGTCTTTGAAAGACTGGAAAATGGAAGGTGGTTTGCAAAAACGGTAAAAAAATTTGTAATTGGCAATGAAACTTTGATGTGACCCAATTATGTTAAAATTAACAATAACACTATACCATCCAATTGAAAAGGGGACTTCACTGAACACTTCTGAAAGACCATTTTATGCTTTTAGTCGGTTTGGCGAAGGATCGCTTAATACTTAGTTTCCTGGGGAGGAAACGATCAATATCATCAAATACTGTTTCCGACCCGTTCATGGGAGGCGGTTTAATGGATTTGCCAGGAAGCTATCGATAAAAACGAACAATATGGCCAAGGATTAATGAGAAATTGATTTAAAATGCTATCCAATAGTAAAATTCCATTTAGACACAGCGGTGGAATAATATAAAATTTAATTTAGAATAACTGATTGTTATTCATTCTTATACAGACAAGATTGCAACATAATAGGAGGATAATTTAGTAAAAATAATGTTACGACTTATTATAAAATGATAACATTAAAGGAAACTGTGTTCAATGTGAGAGAGAATCTCTCTCTCTGACTTTTACTGTTATTTGGGATTTTTTCGTATTTTTCATAAATTTGCTGCTAATATCACACTGCAAGTCATTTTGGCTCCAATAGAATTCATTAATTATTTTAAAGGCCAATGAACCGCCTAGACTATCTTGATGAGAGAATTTCCAATTATTATTATAGCTCCAGACCTCGCACCTTCTTTCACTTATTCTAGCCCAATAGCATCATCGTACTACGGGGTAGGATGGTTTTCTGCGATTGAAAATATTTATTAGTTTTTTGCTTGTTTGTAATCATTCTTCTATTCTCTTGACTTTTACTGTTATTTGGGATTTTTTCGCATATTTTTCATAAATTTGCTTCTAATATCACACTGCAAATTATTTTGGCTCCTTATTATTTTTTAAAGGCCGATGAACCACCTTGATGAGAGAATTCCAATTATTACTCTAGCTCCAGACCTCGCACCTTCTTTCTACCACTTATTCTAGCCCAATAGCATCATCGTACTACGGGCTAGGATGGTTATCTGCTATTGAAAATATTTATTAGTTTTTTTCCTTGTTTGTAATCATTCTTCTATTCTCTTGACTTTTACTGTTATTTGGGATTTTTTCGCACATTTTTCATAAATTTGCTTCTAATACCACACCTGCAAATCATTACGGCTCCTTATTATTTTTTAAAGGCCGATGAACCACCTTGATGAGAGAATTTCCAATTATCGTTATAGCTCCAGACCTCGCACCTTCGAACTACTGCCTATGTCAGCCAAGACTCACGTTTAGTAGGGCCAAACGTTCAATGCTAAAGAGGAGAAAAAGCAGGTTCTGTCTGTTTTTAGTTTGTTAAAGGTACCTTTCTACTACAGAACAGGATCTGCGATAGGAATTATTTACATATTGCCTTGATGAGATAATGTCCAATTGTCATTATTATTCCCGACCTCGCACCTTCGAACTTACTGCTTATTCCATCCCAGGGTCACGTTGAGCAGGACCAAGTGTTCAATGCTAAGGAGGAGAAAAAAACGTTCGTGTTTAGCCTGTTAAAGGTATCCTTCTGCTACAGGAAGAATCTGCGAATGGAATTATTTACACATTGCCTTGATGAGATAATGTCCAATTCTCATTACTATTCCCGACCTCGGACCTTCGAACTATCGCCCAGGCATTTTGTAGTGCCAATTTTACGAGAAAAATATTCTGGTTCAGTTTTCACCTACTTAAAGGTTGATCGTATTGCAGGGCAGGATTTTTTTCTTTGTTTATAATCATTAGTGTTTTGGCTTTTACTAATTTGTTTTGTTTTTATCACAATTTTTCATAATGAAACTTGCCAGTGATATCTCACTGCAAATTAATAGCCATAATAAATTTGAATACATTTTTTTAAAGGCCACCAACTACCTAGGAAAAGTACAAACGTAAAGAGAAGAAAAAAACAGATTCTGTTCAGTTTTTAATCTCATAAAAGCTCGACAGGAAGATTCAGGTACAACAGAACAGGTAAATATTTACATATTCATAGCCTTGATGAGAGGATGTACAACTTATTCACTTTAATGCTTGCACCTTCGAACTACTGCTTATTCCTTCCCAGGTTCACATTGTTTAGGGTCAAAGTTCAGTGCTAAAGAAAAAACAGGTTCTGTCCAGTTTTAACCTCTCAAAAGCATCGTACTCGTACTTCAAGACATGATGGTTTTCTGCGACTTAAAATGTTTAAATAAATCGTAATAGACTAACGGCGATGATGAAACAACTCTTTGTAACAACCAAAATTAAATATTCAATTCGCTTCGGATAAGTGTTTTTTAAAATTTTATATTGTAATTTTCGCACAGTTTCGTAAAGTAATATGTCATCTCTATCTAGTATCAATATAGACATCTATTACCCCGATAGTCAGAGCGATTTAGCTTGTGTTCGTTCGGAAGATTACCGACGATGATGTGGCCAATTTACCACGTAAATGACAAAGTACGACAGTTTCCCGTGTCTATTATAACATAAATTTGACATCCAACGTTAATGGGAGAAGTTAAAACGGATTCCGTTTAATTTTCGCCCTTTAGAATTGTTTTCTACAAGCGGTTTTATTTAGAAACGAGATAAAACGAAAATATTCGGTTATTATTAGGGAAATTTTTCATAACCTTAGCATGAAATATAACGTTTTATTGTTAGAAGTGCGAATGGGCAGATTTAACGGAACGCTATCTGGAATATCGTGATTATTAACGGGTAACGGTAAAGTGAACAGAGCCGTATTTTGTCGAAGATATGGTCCAATTTAATAAAATAATATTATATACGTAGAAATATGTTTAATAAAATTGTTAATGATTGTTTGGAGAACGTGAGATGCAGTCTGGTGTGACGTAGGTTTTAGAAAAACATTTTCTTTATCATGCCAACGTTTCGATCTTTATTGAGATCATCTTCAGGGCTCAAAGTATTTGTAGATATTGTAGATGTGTAATTAATCTTTTTATGTAAGGTTTTGGTTGAAATGAAA